GGCAAAGACTTGAGACAACCTAATATATTACTGTCAACTTATGTTTTCGTATTTTCGGTAGCCTCAAGCTGATTTCCTGCCATGGTCAACCGCACCAACTCGTTTGTTTGGAATGAGCACAATTTAGGCTTGCAAAACTGATATCCAGTTACTGACAATTGCTCGATGTGAATGGTAGCCATATCGTGCTGGAGCCACTAAAGCCCCATCCCTACTCACATTTTCGGGAGATCAGGAAAATGGGAGACTTTAGTGAAAATATTCGATGCATATTAATCGGTTTGACTGGTGACTCCTTATCCCTATTTTCCATCAGTCTCCAATCAAAACATGCGTATCCAATTTTTTCAGCGGATCAAGATCTTTCGCTTGACCATACTCAATCAATGCATATCTTTTTCATTATCCCCTGATCTCCATTTTCCCCAAGAAGTGGAATTAAAGCATGTTAAAGCCAAACTTCCGGACGAAATGAACTCCTGGCACGAGAAATATGGAGTGGAAAGCAACCGCAGCGCATGTACCCTTTTAATGCTGACATGACAAGGCTGAGACCTTAACCCTGAAATTCCTGACCTGACCCTGAAATTCACCATGAGCTCCGCGTCCACTCTGCCCACTGGAATACGTGAACCAATTTTTAAGGAAAGGGTTCCACGCATTTCGATCAGTAGAACACCAGGGCCGGATGCAGCAAGTGCCGAGTTGGGTGCCGACTCTAAGGGACCCATCCCCTCATAATACTTGAGGACATGTCCCTAACCTCGGAGGTATATCCCCGACCTCGCGGAAATGTCGCCGACACGGGTGAGGGGATGAGTCCCCAGCCTCGGAAACATATCCTCAACCTCAGGTACATATTCCCATCCCCAACATTCAGCAAGAGAGCGCTCAGTCCTTCGTCACAGAACCCATCGTTTTTGGATGGGTCCTATGACGCGACCATGCGGAACGATCACTGCCGTAGACTCTCATCGTCTCTGCCAGCAGGGGAAACCGGCGATGGCGACACGGAAAATCGGCGACGGCAGTGACCGTTCGTATTATTGCGTCATACGATCCATCGAAAGTGAGGTCCCGTGATGAGACCCTCTTGCTAATGCCGGAAAAGTGGATATGTCCCCGAGGTTGGGCATGTGCCCTCCGAGGTTGAGCACATCCTAGAGGTCACGGATACGTCCCCGAGCAGGGTGAATGGACGCATCCCCAAGTTGGAGAGCGGTGGTACCGTCTTCGGAGATACATCACTCAGTGGGTTTCGATGAAGCTGAAGAGCATGTTGAAGTCCAGGTCATACAATACTTTGTTGATGTCCACCGTTTCATGCGTACAATAGCGAGGAAAGACAGTGTACAAATACCGTTGGAACTGTGCGTAACCCACCTTGCTATGCGAAGACTTTTGTAGAAGAACTCTTTTGATGTGTCGAACGCCTTTAGGGCGCAGTATGCATTGCCCAACTGGTTGTAAAGTACAGAGCGTTGCTGGTCGTCCTCATTAGGAACACACTTTAGCCGCTGACAAAGATGACCTATTTCTGAAGAATAGGTTGACATCGCTAGCTCAGCACGTTGTCTCCAGCAAGTTGAATGGTGACGGTTATTACATGCCTCTGCTGAAAAACGAAACCTGCTAACCTCTGCGAGCTTTGCTTTCACAACAAAAGTGTGTTTCTTCATTGAATGGACAGACGCTGCTCTCTTCGTATGTAGAACCGCACATTGTAGACGACCGCACTTTAGATGGGTCCATATCAGTCGTTATGGTAGTATTGAGGTCACCATCATGGCATGGCCTACAGTAACTCGCTGGACACTGCTTGGAGTGTAAGTCGATGATGCCAGCGGCCTCTCTGGAAGACGTGGTGGAAGATATCTTCTTAAAGAGTTGAGATACCAGTTTAATGAAGAGCATCTAGTATGTCGTCGAGTAGGCTTCAGGTGTGAGTAGAAAAGGTGAAAGAGCCAAATGAACCATCCTGCGTGATCCAAGAAGGAGGAAAGAGTTATCACAACGTTATCACCCATGATAGTTGAACAATAAACGGTCATGCTCGTTAGGGCCTACGTATACTCGAGATCCGTAAAGTTGGGGTAGGCGTGTCACCGATAGTGACTTACTGGATAAACCATTGTGGATAAACGCTCAATGTACATCGCGGCAGCAAAGCGGTTGCACGACCTTACTACCAACTCTCCAACCACGTCACTTCGGGACACGCCAACCCCAACTTCATCTCAACGTATTTGGATAACTCCCTTCTATATCAAAGTAATCTGCACGTTTTGCTGGAAAGCGGGTTCGAACTTCGAACTGCGTTCGATCCGGCATAGCTTCCATCCTGTAGCCAAGCCCCGTTAGAAAGCGATTTGTGCTGAAGCCTAGCTTACTTCGCCATTTTTTCAGCAAATTTCCCAGCAGGCCCTGGTCTAAACTTTCATTATATGTTCACTAGCGATCATTTTACCCCCTGAATCACCTTTATTCGAGGAAGGATGGGGGAGAGGTGACGAAATGGCGTGCTATCACCGTTTAGCTCGGCTAACGTCGTTTATAGGGTAGCAATCGCCTCATTGGCGCCTCTGTAGTATCTCCACGAGCTTCTCTTCAGCACCTTCATAACGCTCCGTCCATTTCATTTGGTGTGTGCGTTGAGGTATCCAAAAAGGCGAAGCCACGAAACTAATCACGATTGTCCTTATAAGTTCCTATTCAAGGGCAGTTATCCTATTCTTGCCACATTGCGTATCGCCACCGTTTTATAAAACACCGCACGCGGATTTTGAAACTAAACCCTGATTAAGATTGGCTGCGGCTTTGTATTAGGTCGTGAAGAAAGTTCTTGCGCTTTTCGACCTTGATTTTCAAATGCCTGTATCTCGGCTCATTCGAAACCTTTTTGATTGGAGTAAAGACTGTTAGAATCCACAAACCTCTGCCAATAATAGCTGCGTTGAATCAGCCCGGTAGTGCAGAATACTGGAGCTCTAGAGACGATGAACCCGGCGGAGGTCGTTTCCGCATCATGTTGGTTTTTGAAGCATAACTCTTTGGAGAAGCTATCCAGGTAGTCGAGAAAGTGACAAATTATAGGCAAAAGGTCTACCGAGTAGGATGTTCGCAGGACTAATTCGTAGCCAATCTTGTCCAACTTCTGCAGGGTTGGTTGTGGAATGTGCGTCCGAGCTACCTGTCAGGGACGAGCCGGTTCCTTTATAATGAGGAATTTCGAGCATATGTGCCAGAGTTCTAGGAGTAGTTTGACACATTATCAGGAGTACTTTTCCACATTAACAGATCCACCTGGTTACGAAAAGCTAGACCAGCCGCTGACCTTATGAAAGTCACCTCAACCTTCCTTCAGTGAAGTTTCACTTTTGCAAAGTTTGTAGAGCCTGATCGCGGTCGATCACTTCACCAAAGGTTCGTATTCTGTAGCAAAGAATCCGTTCTTTGTCGTGCGTCGCAAATGATCAAAAAGTCAGGTCGTTTTCATGGCATGAAACAAGCTAGAACGCGGCGAACGACCCTTCAAAATGGTGAGCTGTCGCGGCACGCCCTATTTGAATTTTTGGGACTTTCCAGCTCTTCCCGTACAACAAGAAAACACAATGCAAGTGCGATCAGTTTAGGAGGAACCCTCTCAATAGATTTGTGCAAACGTGCTTCAACCAGAACGTTCGACTAATCGTTGGCGTTGTCCAATCTCCGATCACCACCCTCACAATCTTTAGGGCTCTCGCTATTCTTACAAAAGCTTTTTGAACAATTGCTTCAGACCATATTTATTGCGAATCTCAGCCAAGTGCGTCTATAATATCTTGACCTGCTTCCTCTCCATACTGGCCTGCTTTGAGCTAGAAAAAGGAAATCATGCAAATTTGCTCTTGGAGTATGCCGTATTCAAGGCTTCAAAAAATGACAACTAAATAATAAGGAACATAGCTAGCCTAGCTGTTAGATAGAACAAGAAAAGCTCTTCAAAACCACATACAGCTCATTGGCAGCTTGCTTGAATTCGTAACAAAATAAAGCGTTCAAAAACGAAACACCGAAAAGCGCAAGAACTTTCTTCACGACCTAATAGCTTTAGCGCAGCATGGGGCGCCAGCGCATGTATCGCGTGACGTATGTTCTCGTGGTTATCCAGTACGACGACTAGAACCAGTGAGTTCGAACACCCTTCAGCGAGCTTCTAGTTGAACCGAAATTTTGACTCAAAGGCGTAGCAGTGGATGAACTGTGAAAATCCTTTTCACAGCATATGTTATTTCTGAAGACTTCAGACAGAACCAGCCTTAGTTATCGTTAGCCATGAATTTTCGCTCCTCACCTCACTTGCAAATTTTTTCTCGAAAGGCTCCACGTCACGTCTTGAATAACCACACTTTCCCATTTGAAGCATAAAGCCATTTTGACATGTCCTGCAGAATAAGCGCGGCGTTTTTTATTGTTATCTTGATTGTTCTCAAATTTATTGCAAGATTTGAACTATTAAAGGAATCTTCCACGGAAAAAGCTCCGCCCTCATTACCACAGAAAACGATACCTTAAAGGAATCTTCCACGGAAAGAGTGATCATTTTGTCTTGTGTGTAGGATTAGTATTATCGAAACTAACGCTTATGTTCCGTTCTTTTTGCTATGCTCATGAGGCTAGGGGCCTAAGGTATCGTTTTTCTGTGGTAATGGAGGCGGAGCTTTTTCCGTGGAAGATTCCTTTAAGTCACAGAGAAGGTTTTATATGGTGGTGGTGTCCGTTCCTCCAAGTGGTGCCACTGGAAACTGCTCACTTTTGTGAGCTGAGCTGAACACGGACATTCGAATGCAGGCGACAGGCCCCCGTGACAGGCCGGCCTACGAACACCCACGTCACATCACAAATGTCAATGTCGCTATATGAATCTCGAGATAATGCTACGGCGTCCGCGGGAGCCGACGCGCACTCGCAAAGCCCGGCGAGTGTGAAAAGTATGCGAGGGTCTCCGGTGCAAGGACGGCATCGGGGGGCAACTAGGCTAGTCCAAAAGTCCCGCAACGTATGGAAGACTCGCGTTGCAACGTTAAATGTTGGCACGTTGACGGGCCGCTCGTACGAGTTAGCACTAGAGCGCCGACGAATTGATTTCTGTGCCGTGCAGGAAACGAGGTGGTCCTGCTGCAAGTCGAGGGACATTGGCCGCGGCTTCAAAGCCGTTCTTTGTGGCAGTCCCAGGACAACCAACGGTGTCGGTGTGATCGTCTCTGAACGTTTCCGTGACTTCGATTGTCAGCGTTGAACGTTACGATGACCGCTTAATGAAGATCGTTGTCGCTTTTGAGCAACGTCAATACCACTTCTTCTCTGCGTACGCTCCACAGACAGGCTGCTCCGAACACGCCAAGGACGAGTTCTGGGCCCTTGCTGGATGACAAAACAGCTGATGTACCATCGCAGGATGCCCTAATTGTCGCCGGTGACCTTAATGGTCACGTGGGGCTACGAAAGATGGTTACAGCTGTCATGGTGGATTTGGTATGGGTCACGAAACGCCGATGGCGAGAGAATTCTTGAGTATGCAAACTCGCACAATCTCACCATCGTGAACACAAACTATCGCAAACGTGACTCCCACCTCATCACGTTCTACAGCGGTATACCAGAACGCAAATTGATTTGTCCTCGTCAGGCAGCGTGATCGAGGGCTAGTGACGGACGCGAAGACGGTGCCGTACGAGACGGTCGCCACGCAACATCGACCACTGATTTGCACCCTGAAGATCACCCCTCCGAAAGTAAAGCAAGTTGAACGGTGTGGGCCTGCAAGGATCAAGTGGTGGCGACTGAAAGAAAAGGAATCTGCTCTGTTTTCCCGCATTCGGCTTACCGACAGTAACGACTGTCGACGAAACATGGAAAAGTGCCACCGAAGCGATAGTCCGTGTCGCTCGCTCCGAACTCGGCATCACAAAGCCTGGGCGCCGGAAAATCAACAAACAGACATGGCTGTGGAGGGACACTGTCAAAGAAAAAGTGCGAGAGAAGAAGCCGTGGCTGTCTTACAGCTGCTCACTTCACCAGCGTTTGCGAGGAAACTCAAGACGCACGATGGCGAACGATATGTCACAGACTAGCCAAAGCTCGCCATCGCCAAACCGAGGATGTCGAGAAGTTTTTCGGTATTAGTGACGAGAACGGGCGGTTCCTAATAGGCCATTCCCCTCTGCTCCTCCCGTTCACGGTCCCGTCTCGAAGATAACTGTGGAAGAAACTGAAGCGGCGCTGAAGAAGATGAAGACAGGTAAAGCAACGGGTCCCGACGACTTGGCAGCCGATCTGTGGAAGTCACAGTGCTGGCATCCTGCGGAGTGGTTGACGAAGTTCTTCAACCAAGTTGTTGCAGAGAAAGAAAGTGCCTGAGAGTTGGTGGCCAGAGCACGACGATTCCCATCTGGAAGAAGAAGGGCAGTCCTGCAGACTGCACGAGCTACCGTCCAATTCGTCTGCTTTCCCACAGCATGAAGATATTTGAGCGAATTATAGATCGTCGTATTCGCGACATAGTGCAGCTCGCCACGAACCAGTGTGGATTTGTAAGCGGCTGTTAGTACCATCGATGCAATACATGCCGCTCGTCTACTGCTAGAAAAACATCGCGAGAAACGGAAGCCTCTGCATTTTGCCTTCCTAGACTTGGAAAAGGCTTTCGATCGCGTTCCGCGTGATGTAATATGGTACGCTTTAGACAACGTGGCGTTCCCGAAGAACTCATTGAGTGGGTTCGCATGCTGGAACTTATTGAGTGGGTTCGCATGCTGTACTCGAGCCCAAAGAGCCGAGTGCAAACGTCAGCAGGCACCTCGATGGAATTCCCCATCTCTGTTGGGGTACACCAAGGCTCTGCGCTATCCCCACTCCTTTTCGTTGTCGTCATG